CTAGGTTAGAGAGTACTAAGGGATATACTTGACTATGTTAGACAGCACTTGGCTAGGTTAGAGAGTACTTGGCTAGGTTAGATGGTACTTGGTTAGGTTAGATGGTACTTGGTTCAGTTAGAGAGTACTTAGGAGTTAGAGAGTACTTGGCTAGGTTAGACAGTACTTGGATGGTGGGATGGAACTGGACCTGACAACAGATGATTTATCCAGGGCTCAGGTAGATTCGATTCCAAATACAAATTCAGCCTCTTAAGGGTCCCATACCATCCTCTTACAGCAGCTTTTTTTTTTTTTTTTTTTTTGAGACAGAGTCTTGCTCTGTTGTCCAGGCTGCAGTGCAGTGGCGCAAACTCAGCTCACTGCAAAACTCCACCTCCCGAGTTCAAGTGATTCTCCTGGTTCAGCCTCCCCAGTAGCTGGGACTACAGGCACCCGCCACCACACCCAGCTAATTTTTTGTATTTTTGGTAGAGACAGGGTTTCACCATGTTACCCAGGATGGCCTCGATCTCTTGACCTCGTGATCCACCCACCTCAACCTCCCAAAGTGCTAGAATTACAAGCGTGAGCCACCACACCCAGCCTTAGAGTCCTTTCATGTGACAGCAAGGAACGTCTGTACCCAGTGCACCACACATGTCCCTCGTGACTTTCCTCACATCCGTTACAAGTGGCCTTAGAGAGTCCCAGCAATGCCAACTTCCTATTAGCAGTCCTGGCATTCAAGAAACACTCAAATAAGGAATAGGTTGGCATCATAAACAGGTTACCTGACTTATCTCTGAGATTCCACAACTCCTCCTTATTAGTCTTCAAATTTGAATCAGGCCGGGCACGGTGGCTCACTCCTGTAATCCCAGCACTTTGGGAGGCCAAGGTGTGTGGATCACCTGAGGTTGGGAGATCAAGACCAGCCTGGCCAACATGTTGAAACCCCGTCTCTACTAAAAATACAAAAAATTAGCCGGGTGTGGTGGTGGACACTTGTAATCCCAGTTACTTGGGAGGCTGAGGCAGGAGAATCACTTGAACCAGGGAGGCGGAGGTTGCAGTGAGCTGAGATCACGCAGCCGGGGCAACAAGAGCGAAACTCTATCTCAAAAAACAAAAAAAAAAATTTTTGACTCAATACTATCAATGCCCCCAACTAATTCTCATGTAAACCGGGTGCTCAAAATCCTTTGAAGAGTTTCACAGTATCTCAGTGTTCTTTATTTGCCCTTATTTCTTGTCATCCCAGATTGATTTCTACAACTGGGTACACTGTCCAAATAAGTGATAATGCTTAGAGTTTGGGAGCCACCAAGCAAAGAAGCCAGGAATAATTTTTCAGATGATAGATAATGTCAGGAGCTGACTGTAGGCAGCAGGTTTTGAGAAGCTGATTGGTGATTGCTGTTTGGCCCACATATGTTTGCTAAGAACCATCAGAGCAATTATTTGATTCAGTCCTTCTTGCTCTAGGTGTTGTGTGAACCTAAATCCGCTTTGTCCTGGTAGGTGAAAGCTGATAAGGACAGCCCCAACCTAGCCCAGCTGCAGCAGGCCTCTCGGGGAGTGAACCAGGCCACTGCTGGCGTCGTGGCCTCAACCATTTCCGGCAAATCACAGATTGAAGAGACAGGTAGCCTTTCCAAAGGGACCCTTTTCTTATCTTGCATCCTTGAGCTCTTCTCTGCATCGTTCCCTGTGATCCCAACCAAATCCCACAGGACTGTGTCTAAATTTTTTCATATTTTTCATCTTTTTATTTTATTTTTTCTTTATTTCTGTTTTTGAGACAGGGTCTCACTCTGTCACCCAGGCTGGAGTGCAGTGGTACGATCTCTGCTCACTGCAACCTCCATCTCCCTGGTTCACACGATTCTCCTGCCTCAGCCTCCCGAGTAGCTGGGATTACAGGCACCGCCACTGCGCCCGCTAATTTTTGTATTTTTAGTAGAGACGGGGCTTCACCATATTGGCCAAGGCTGGTCTCGAACTCCTCGCCTCAGGTGATCCGCCCACCTTGGCCTCCCAAAGTTTGCCGGAATTATAGGTGTGAGCCACTGTGCCACTGTGCCCTGCCTTTTTTTTTTCTTTTTTTTTTTTGAGACGGAGTCTTGCTGTTGTTGCCCAGGCTGGAGTGCAATGGTGCAATCTTGGCTCACTGTAACCTCCGCTCCCAGATTCAAGTGATTCTCCTGCCTCAGCCTCCCAAATAGCTGGGATTACAGGCGCCCACCACTGCACCTGGCTAATTTTTGTATTTTTAGTAAAGACAGGGTTTCACTATGTTGACCAGGCTGGTCTTGAACTCCTGACCTCGTGATCCACCCACCTCAGCCTCCCAAAGAGCTAGGATTACAGGAGTGAGCCACCATGTCCAGCCCCCTCAGTTACTTTCATGCAGTGTTGACAAATGGCAAACCAGGTGTTTCCACAGAGCGTTGGCATTGTCCACCTCTCAGGTGCCAGTCAGGCAGGGTAGAATTTGATAAGATCTTCTTGTTTCCATCCTTGCAGACAACATGGACTTCTCAAGCATGACGCTGACACAGATCAAACGCCAAGAGATGGATTCCCAGGTGAGAGCTCCATCGCTAAGTCTAGATAGCCTCTATTGCCTAGACATGGACTCTAAATATTGTTCCCGTGGAGAAAAGGCAGAGGGAGAGAGACCTGAGTGGAAATGAACACAGGTGCACCTACTAACCCAAGACTGAATGTAAATCATGCCGGAAGAAACAGTGGAGGTGGAGGTTATTAGTGAAGATCAGAATCCTTGTTTTTTTGTTCTTTTGTTATTTTGGTTTTTTTGAGATGGAGTCGTCTCATGTCACCCAGGCTGGAATGCAATGGCATGATCTCGGCTCACCTCACTCCCCACCTCCCAGGTTCAAGCGATTCTTCTACCTCAGCCTCCCAAGTAGCTGGGATTATAGACATGTGTCATCATGCCCAGCTAATTTTTTATTTTTAATAGAGATAGGGGCCGGGCGCGGTGGCTCAAGCCTGTAATCCCAGCACTTTGGGAGGCCGAGGCGGGTGGATCACGAGGTCAGGAGATCGAGACTATCCTGGCTAACATGGTGAAACCCTGTCTCTACTAAAAATACAAAAAAAAACTAGCCAGGCGTGGTGGCGGGCGCCTGTAGTCTCAGCTACTTGGGAGGCTGAGGCGGGAGAATGGCGTGAACCCGGGAGGCGGAGCTTGCAGTGAGCCGAGCTCATGCCACTGCACTCCAGCCTGGGCGACACAGCGAGACTCCGTCTCAAAAAAAAAAAATAAATAAAATAAATAATAGAGATAGGGTTTCACCATGCTGGCCAGGCTGATCTTGAACTCCTGACCTTGTGATCTGCCCACCTGGGCCTTCCAAAGTGCCAGGATTACAGGTGTGAGCCACCGGCCATTTTCTTTTTTCCTTAAATAAAGTAAAGACAGGGTCTCACTATGTTGCCTAGGCTGGTCTCAACTCCTGTTCTCACACAATCCTCCTGCCCTCACACAATCCTCCTGCCTCAGCCTCCCAAAGTGTTGGGATTACAGGCGTGAGCCACCACACCCAGCCAAGATCAGACTCTTAACTCTTGCCCACTAGTCTTGGACTAACATTCCTCTAAATGTTATCCAGGATCTCTTAGTATCCACAAACTTAATAGTCTTACTATAAACATTGTTTTAGACTTCTGGTATGAATTATTTGCATATGACCTTTAGTTTTAAAAGAGAAAATCCTTTTAACTCATCAAAGGCAATGCCATTATTTCTCTCTGTTGTTCTATAAAGTCATACGATGCAAAATAGGTATCAGCAAGATCCTTTAAAAAAATTGATATCATTTTTCTAGAATTATTGGTCATCAGTCTTGGGGTGAATTTCAAATTGGAATTGTTAAAGTACTCCAAGATGTGTCACTCAGCAATTTTTTTTCTTTTTTTGAGTCAGGGCCTTACTCTGTTCCTCAGGCTGGAGTGCAGTGGTGCCATCACATCTCACTGCAGACTTGAACTCCTGGGCTCAGGCAGATCCTCCCAACTCAGCCTCCTGAGTAGCTGGGACTACAGTTGCACACCACCATGCCCAGCTAATTTTTCTTTCTTTCTTTCTTTCTTTTTGAGACTGAGTCTTGCTCTGTCGCCCAGACTGGAGTGAGTACAGTGGCATGATCTTGGCTCACTGTGACCTCCGCCTTCCAGGTTCAAGCGATTGTCCCACCTCAGCCTCTGAAGTAGCTGGGATTACAGACATGCACCGTCACGCCCGGCTAATTTTTGTATTTTTAGTAGAGATGGGGTTTCACCATGTTGGCCAGACTGGTCTCGAACTCCTGACCTCAGGCAATCTGCCCACCTCGGCCTCTCAATGTACTAGGATTACAGGTGTGAACCACTGCACCCAGCCTCTTTCTTTATTTTTTGTAGAGATGGGGGTCTCACTATGTTGCCTAAGCTGGTCTTGAACTTCTGGGCTCAAGCAGTTCTCCCACCTGAGCCTCCCAAAGTGTTGGAATTATAGCCATGAGCCACTGCACCTGGCTCAGCATCTTTAGGAAAAGACACAGATCACCAGCAAAGCCAAATTTCTGTCTGAATACTGAAGGGACTTCTGCTTAGCAATCTCACTCAGTCCCTCTTGACTTTATTTTTATTATTATTTTTTTGAGACAGAGTCTCAGTGTGCTGCCCAGGTTGGAGTGCAGTGATGCAATCTTGGCTGACTGCAACCTCCGCCTCCCAGGTTCAAACAATTCTTCCACCTCAGCCTCCCAAGTAATTGGAATTACAGGCACCCGCCACCTCACCCAGCTAATTTTTGTATTTTTAGTAGAGACAGGGTTTCACCATGTTGGCCAGGCTGGTCTCGAACTCCTGACCTCAGGTGATACACCTGCCTCGGTCTCCCAAAGTGCTGAAATTACAGGCGTGAGCTACTGCACCCATCCCCTCTTGACTTAAATACCACCTATATGTGGATAAATTCCAAAATCTTCTCCACAGCTTAGATCTTCTCCTTGAGCCCCATACTTATCCAGCAGCCTTCTTGATAGCTCCCCACTAATGCCCTATAAGTATCTCAAACGTAACTGATGTCCAAAACAGGCCTCTTGGTGTCCCTCACACCCCACTCTGTCCCTCCCCTTGTTTATTTCATCTCAGTAAATGACACCCCCACCGCCTACTGGGTGCTGAGCCACAAACAGTCATCCTTGATTCCTCTCTTTCCCTCACCCTCCACATCCAATCCATCTGCAAGGCCTGTTAACGCTAAATCACAAAACAAAAGCTTAATCTTTCCACTTCTTTCCATCTTCCTACTGTAACCTAAGCCACCATTCTCTGTCTCCTGAGCCACTGCAAAAGCAACTTACCTATAATGTTATATGAATAGTCATTTTAAAATAATCCTGTGGTAGGCTGGGTGCAGTGGCTCATGCTTATCATCCCAGTACTTTGGAAGGCCAAGTTGGGAGGATTGCTTGGCCAGGAGTTCAAGACAAGCCTGGGCAACATAGAGAGACCCCATCTCTACATAGAAATTAAAATTAGCTGGGACACATGCCTGCAGTCCCAGCTAGTCTGGAGGCTGAAGCAGGAGGATCACTTGAATCCAGGAGTTTGAGGCTTCAGGGAGCTGTGATCACACTCTTGCACTCCAGCCTGTGTGACAGAGTGAGACCCTATCTCTAAAAATAACGATAATAATAATCCCATGGCATGATCAGGTGGTGGGGAGAATAGCAAAGAGCATTGCAGAGGCAAGTCTGGTCATATGGTTAGTTAGTTGGTGGAGCTGGGTGAAGAGCACAATGAGGTCACTCTGCTAGTCTCCATCCCTCTGTAGATGTTTTACTTTTTCCATAATAAAAAGTTGTTTCAAAACAAAAAAGGAACCACTTCACTGGGTCTAGTTGCTTCTACTCTTGACCCTCTACAGTCCATTCATTCCCCATGTGATAGTTTAGAAATGTAAATCTCAGGATGTCCCCTCTCTGCTTAAATCCTCCCAGTGGCTTTTCATTGCATGTACAACATCCAAGCTCCTCATCAGGTCATGAGCCTGGGTGAAAAATGATCCTTGCCTGGTTCTCAACTTCATCCTGCAACCCTACCCCTCTATCATATGTCTCATATACAACTTCCTTCCTTCTCCCAACACCTCCAGATCTGTCTTGCTTTAGAGCCTTTGCTCTGACTGTTTCTTCTGCCTGGAATATTATTCTCCAGGTCTCCAGGCAGCTGAGCTCTTAAGGCCACAAAAGCTGAAAAATGACTTTCTGAGACTAGACCTGGCTGACTATTCTTAGGCTTTATTACATTTCCCTGTGTCATTTCTTTGCAATCTGATCTTTCTCCTTCATTTGTCTTTTCCCTCTATAAGGTAAGCAGGGACATGATCAGTGCTCAGCAAATATTCTTTTTTTTTTTTTTTTATTTTGCTCTTGTTGCCCAGGCTGGAGTGCAGTGGTGTGATCTTGGCTCACTGCAACCTCTGCCTCCTGGGTTCAAGCAATTCTCCTGCCTCAACTTCCCAAGTTGCTGGGATTACAGGCATGCACCACCACACCTGGCTAATTTTGTATATTTTTAGTAGAGATGGGGTTTCATCATGTTGGTCAGGCTAGTCTTAAACTCCTGACCTCAAATGATCCACCCACGTTGACCTCCCAAAGTGCTGGGATTACAGGCATGAGCCACTGTGCCTGGCCAGCAAATATTCCTTGAATTAAGAAATAAAATAAATTACATTAATGAGAAGTAGAGCTAGGCAAGATCACCTTTTCCTTTAGTAAGATTGTCCATGCTTTTTCCTGTAGCAGTAATAAGCCTAAGTTGCACAAATACCTGAAAGATATCAGAACCATCATACTTGGTTCCTACTTGGGTTTCCAGGGAACTGGAATTGAAGAAGGGTTACAACTAGATTGGCACTCACCATACAGTTAGGCTAAACATTAGAGTTGTTTTTAGATAGTGATTTATCAGAGCAACAGAAGATAAGCCCACCTCCCATTTAGGTATTTGTAAAGCATCATTCACTTCCAGTAGAGGATCACAGTGAGTAAAACATAAGAGCTACTGGGATAGATAAATGAATGGGAGAATGGAAAAATTAGAGCAAAAAGAGAACAGAAATTGAGGACTAGATAAAGTATGGAAACAGGGTGAATAATGCAGAAGAAGAGGAATTCACAATGCAGCAGAAAGGGGGTAATCAAAATAAGATAGATGTAGGCTGGGCATGGTGTTTCATGCCTGTAATCTCAGCACTTTGGGAGGCCAAGACAGGAGGATCTCCTGAGGCCAGGAGTTCACTACCAGCCTGGGCAGCAGAGCAAGACCCCATCTCTATAAAAAATATACATAAAAATTAAATCTCAGAGAGCTGATCAAAAGAAAATCCCACTCACTTTCCTTACAGGTTAGGGTGCTAGAGCTAGAAAATGAATTGCAGAAGGAGCGTCAAAAACTGGGAGAGCTTCGGAAAAAGCACTACGAGCTTGCTGGTGTTGCTGAGGGCTGGGAAGAAGGTGAGCTGACTCCAAGGACGAGCACTAACCCACAGCAGGGAGGGGAAGCTGTGTGACAGGGCCTTCCCCTAGAATGGAACAGAACAAGAAACCCACCAGATCAGTGGCTTCTTCCTTCTCTTCTCTCCTCATGGAACCTATTTTCTCTTCTGTTGTAAATAACCTTTAAGTCTAACTCTGGGTGAAATTATGGTGAATTAAAAGCTTTTGTTGTCACCTTTTAAGACCTAAACATTGATCATAACTCATTCACTGCCATTCCTTCCCAGGCCCAGGTAGCCTTGCTAACTCCCTGGGAATTTAGTTTCTGGCCAGCAGAGAGTTGAAAAACGAAAGAATAGTGGTCAGTGGAGATCTGGCAGACAGGGACAAGTGAATTACAAGATTCTGACTATCTAGAGCCAGTGAAGGGCAACAATTGCCAAAGGATAGAAGGGATCAGGTGCTGAGAAACGGAGTGGCATGGAGTCACATTCAGCCTGCCAGCCCAGAGACTTGCCATCCATCACCTTGAGTCTATATGTTGCTGTCTGCATGTCGAAAGCAGTCAACTTGATCACAACCAAGATTGTTGACTGTTATGGGATTTGACAGACTCTGGGCACCAACCATAGACAGATCCTAGTCATTCCTAGACACCAAACTCGGGGACTAAGTGATTACACCATGGTTATAATTATAATGTATTTTTGAGCCCCCATGGTGGCAGGTTTTTTGATTAAGTGAGTGTATGCATGCATGAAGCGCTTTGCAACATAAATTATCATTGTCTTTTAGGAACAGAGGCATCTCCACCTACACTGCAAGAAGCGGTAACCGAAAAAGAATAGAGCCAAACCGATACCCCATATGTCAGTGTAAATCCTTATTACCTATCTCGTGTGTGTCATTTCCCCAGCCACAGGCCAAATCCTTGGAGTCCCAGGGGCAGCCACACCACTGCCATTACCCAATGCCGAGGACCTGCATGACACTTCCAAAGACTCCCTCCATAGCGACACCCTTTCTGTTTGGACTCATGGTCATCTCTGTTCTTTCCCCGCCTCCCTAGTTAGCATCCAGGCTGGCCAGTGCTGCCCATGAGCAAGCCTAGGTGCAAAGAGGGGTGGTGGGGGACAGGGCCACTCAACAGAGAGGACTTCCATCCAGTCCTGCTGATTATTTGACCCCCACAACAATGGGTATCCTTAATAGAGGGGCTGCTTGTTGTTCGTTGACAGCTTGGAGAGGGAAGATCTTATGCCTTTTCTTTTCTGTTTTCTTCTCAGTCTTTTCAGTTTCATCATTTGCACAAACTTGTGAGCATCAGAGGGCTGATGGATTCCAAACCAGGACACTACCCTGAAATCTGCACAGTCAGAAGGACAGCAGGAGTGTCCTGGCTGTGAATGCCAAGGCCATTCTCCCCCTCTTTGGGCAGTGCCATGGAATTCCACTGCTTCTTATGGTGGTTGGTTGGGTTTTTTGGTTGTATTTTTTTTTTTTTAAGTTTCACTCACATAGCCAACTCTCCCAAAGGGCACACCCCTGGAGCTGAGTCTCCAGGGCCCCCCACTGTGGCAGCTCCGGCGATGGTGCTGTCCAGGCCTCTCGGTGCTCCACCTCCGCCTCCACGCTGAGCAAGTGCTGGCCCACCCAGTCCATGCTCCAGGGTCAGGCGGAGCTGCTGAGTGACAGCTTTCCTCAAAAGGCAGAAGGAGTGAGTGCCTTTCCCTCCTAAAGCTGAACCCCAGCGGAAAGCCTCTGTCCACCTTCACAAGGGAGAAGACAACAGAAAGAGGGACAAGAGGGTTCACACAGCCCAGGTCTTCACAGGACACGTTTCTTAGGAGTTCCTGTGACCAGGCTCAAAAATTTTTATCACATGCTTGAATGGAACTGGTGAGATCAACACTACTTCCCCGCCGGAATGAACTGTCCATGAACGGTCTGTGTCAAGTGGGCCATCTCCCTTGGCCCAGAGAGGGAGTGTGGGAGCGATTCCCAGCTCCTTTCTGCAGACATCTGCCTTGGCATCCTCTTGAATAAAAAGATCGTTCCACCTTCTACGCAATTGACAAACCCGGAAGATCAGACGCAATTGCTCCCATCAGGAAAGAACCCTATACTTGGTTTGCTACCCTTAGTATTTATTACTAACCTCCCTTAAGCAGCAACAGCCTACAAAGAGATGCTTGGAGCAATCAGGACTTCAGGTGTGACTATAGCAAGGCTCATCTTTCTGCCCGGCTACATCAGCCTTCAAGAATCAGAAGCAAGGCCAAGGTGCTGGACTGTTACTGACTTGGATCCCAAAGCAAGGAGATCATTCAGAGCTCTTGAGTCAGAGAAAACGAGAAAGGACAGAGCCAGCGGCTCTAACTCCTTTCAGCCATATGCCCCAGGCTCTCGCTGCCCTGTGGACAGGATGAGGACAGAGGGCACATGAACAGTTTGCCAGGGATGGGCAGCCCAACAGCACTTTTCCTGTTCTAGATGGACCCCAGCATTTAAGTGACCTTCTGATCTTGGAAAAACAGCGTCTTCCTTCTTTATCTATAGCAACTCATTGGTGGTAGCCATCATGCACTTCCCAGGATCTGCCCCAACAGAACATTGCTAGGTTTTGCTACATGACGGGTTGTGAGACTTCTGTTTGATCACTGTGAACCAACCCCCATCTCCCTAGCCCACCCCCCTCCCCAACTCCCTCTCTGTGCATTTTCTAAGTGGGACATTCAAAAAACTCTCTCCCAGGACCTGGGATGACCATACTCAGAGGTGTGACCTCCATACTGGGCTAAGGAAGTATCAGCACCAGAAATTGGGCAGTCTTGTGTTGAATGCTGCTTTCTGCTTAGTATTTTTTTTTTATTCAAGGCTCAGAAGGAATGGTGCATGGCTTCCCTGTCCCAGTTGTGGCAACTAAACCAATCAGTGTGTTCTTGATGCGGGTCAGCATTTCCAAAAGTAGCTAGTCCTCACTTCTAGATCTCAGCCATTCCAACTCATACGTTTCAAATTACCAATGGGGCGGCCGGGCACCACTGTTCCCGTGGCTCACGCCTGTAATCCCAGCACTTTGAGAGGCCAAGTCAGGTGGATCACCTGAGGTCAGGAGTTCGAGACCAGCCTGGCTAATGTGGTGAAACCCCGTCTCTACTGAAAATACCAAAAATTAGCCAAGCATAGTGGCGGGTGCCTGTAATCCCAGCTACTCAGGAGGCTGAGACAGGAGAATCTCCTGAACCCCGGAGGCAGAGGTTGCAGTGAGCTGAGATCACGCCATTGTATTCCAGCCTGGGCAACAAGAGCAAAACTCCGTCTCAAAAAAAACCAAAAAAACAAATTACAAATGGGGCAAAAAGTCTAGTGTACTGGATCAAATTAAGATTCTCTGCCCAGCTGAGCACAGTGGCTCACGCCTGTAATCCCAGCACTTTAGGAGGCCAAGGCGGGAGGATCGCTTGAGCTCAGGAGTTTGAGACCAGGCTGGGCATCATAGCGAGACCTCGTCTCTACTAAAATTCAAAAACAAAATTAGCTGGGCATGATGGTGCACATGCCTGTAGTCTCGGCTAGTTGGGGAGCTGAGGTGGGAGAATTGCTTGAGCTTGGGAAGTTGAGGCTGCAGTCAGCCCTGACTGTGCCACTGCACTCCAGCCTGGGTGACGGAGTGACAAAAAATTGTTTGTTTTTAAAGCCACAGAAATGTTTAAAACCTTCGTCGACTTAGCCTGAGTCATAACAGTTAAGAAAGCACTTAAACAGAAGCAGAGGCTAAGTCAGTGCCACATGAGGAAGTAACTGTCAGATGTCACATAATTACTTTCGTAATAGCTCAGATTAGAACGGCTACCCCATTCTCTAGACAAAATCAAATTTTCCTATTGTGACTCTTCTAAAAATGAAGATGAAGAGGTATTTAGTGACACACCTTGGATTAAAACGGGAATCACATCTTAAAGCTAAAAATGAACCTGCCAGCCTTTTAAATGAGTCACTGAGCATCACTAGTGACAAGTCTCTGGTGAGTGTAAATGGGTCATGACAAGATGGGAGAGCAACAAAATAATGGCTTAGGATCAACAAGAAGTTGAAAAACAGCATCTGTTACTTAAGTTTGTAAGACAGTGCCCTAAGACCTCTAGAGAAAAGATGTTTGTTTACATAAGAGAAAGAGGCCGGACGTGGTGCCTCACTCCTGTAATCCCAACACTTTGGGAGGCAGGGGTGGGTGGATCACCTGAGGTCAGGAGTTCAATACTAGCCTGGCCACCATGGTGAAACCCCGTCTCTACTAAAAATACAAAAATTAGTTGGGTGTGGTGGTGGGCACCTGTAATCCCAGCTACTGGGGAGGCAGAGGCAGGAGAATCGCTTGAACCTGGGGGACGGAGGTTGCAGTGAGCCAAGATCACACCGCTGTACTGCAGCCTGGGTGACAGAGTGAGACTCCGTCTCAAAAAAAAAAAAAAAGAGAGAGAGAGAGAAAGAAACAGAAGAGAAGAGCCACCTTGGCAGGGTTATTTTATATCTGAGCAAGGAGTTTCAATGAGACTAGTTTAGATTGTTTGCTGATGCGGCCGTCCATAGCAGTACCCCTAAAATCCCACCAGAATACGGGTCCCTCTAACCCAGTGACTGGAAGAACCACTGTCTAGAGCAACTTTTCTTGGAACTGTCCCAGCTACCAAGTCAGACACCAAGGTTTCTGCCACCAGGTAACACGGGGATCACAGGTACATGTCGCTCTGGTCAGATTAGTTGGCTTTGGTCCCTCGACCCTGTGGAGGAGCTAGTTCTCAGCTTGCACCTGGAAGCTCTCTCTTAGCTCCTTAGTCTAGAGGGGTCTCCTGGCTCCACTTGACCCTGGTCTTTAATAACTGGTCAGTATCTTGCTACCTTCTACCACCTTTCCAAATCTCTGGAAGTCCTGCCAGGGAAAGCCTCCAGTTCCAACATTGGCTTTCCAAGCAAACTGGCTTTGCCGTCTCTCTGCCATCCTTGTCCTCCAGAGACGGTACCACCTGTAGCATAGAAAAACACCACCACGGACCTGCCAGCCATCGACGCAGCAAACCAGGCCGGCTGTTTGCTGCCAAATTCCTTCCTCTCCCAGGTCCAGACCAAACACAAGATCAGCACCACACCGTGGTGTTGTCAGGAGCCAAAGCAACAGGAAACAATTCAATGCTGTTGGGTTCGATTCTGAGAGTAGATTTTTCCAGACATGTCTTTCAGGTGACCCTCAACTACCTCAGGTTTGAAGGCCCTAAATGAAACTGATTACCACTCACAGGGGCAAACCGAGGGGGGTTCGGTTACATCTTGGTGATAATGCAATTGTCTCAAACTGATAACAAACTCTTTCACATTTCGGTTTGCAGGGGTAGGGTTGGGTTTGTTTTTCTTCTCTTCTGTGTTTACCCTTTCCCCCGGGTTTCCAGTAGGGTAGTTCCTTGAAATGAATTTCATTTTTCACTGAGTGCCTACCTTCCCAGGGCAGGTGGCCACTGGCTTCTGTTTCCCTCCAACAATACTTTTATTATGGTATTAAGACCTTTCTTTGTATAATACATTGCATCTGTGTTTTCAATTTTTCAAATAAATATTTCCGCCTGGCAATGGAGCATGGTGGTGATTGACTGGCCAGCGTGGCTCTGAGGTACAGGTTCCACTGAGAAGCCTGCATTTGTATGCTGGGGTTCATGGAATCCACTTAGCCCCACACCTCTGGGAATGTGTCTTAGAAATATTAGTTTGAGCCGGGTGTGGTGGCTCACACCCATAATCCCAGCTCTTAGGGAGGCAGAGGCAGGAGGATAGCTTGAGTCCAGGAGTTAGGAGACCTGTCTGGACAATATAGTGAGATGCTGTTCTTCACAAAAAGGGGGAAAAAAAGAAATACTAGTTTGACACTGGACATGGTGGCTCATGCCTGTAGTCCCAGCACTTTGGGAGGCTGTGGTGGGAGGATCACTTGAGTACAGGAGTTTGAGAGCAGCCTGGGCAACATAGCAAGACCCCATCAACAACAAAATTAACTGGGCGTTGTAGCATATGCCTATAGTCTCAGCTACTTGGGAGGCTGAGTCAGGAGGATCACTTCAGTCCAGAAGGTTGAGGCTGCAGTGATCACACCATTGTACTCCACCCTGGGCAACAGAACAAGATCTTGTCTCTTAAAAAAAAAAAAAAAAAAAAAGGCCGGGTGCAGTGGCTCATGCCTGTAATTCCAGCACTTTGGGAGGCCGAGGCGGGAGGATCACTTGAGGCAAGGCGTTTGAGACCAGCCTGGGCAACATGAAAAAACCCTGTCTCTAAAAAAAAAAAAATACCAAAAAAAAAAAAAGCTGGGCATGGTGGTGTGCACTTGTAGCCCCAGCTTCTAGGGAGGGTGAGATGGGAGAATCATGTGAGCCCCTGGGGAGGTCGAAGCTTCGATAAGCCATGATTGTGCTACTGCACTCCAGCCTGGGTGACAGAGACCGTGTATAAAAATATATACTACTATTAAAAAAAAAAAACTATCATATAGATCAGGTCTCATAAAATCTGGGGGTTCAGGCTGTGGCTCCTCCCTCTGCACCCTTGCGATGCAAATTAACCTGTTACCTTAAAATGAGATGTGACCAATTCTGCTCAGAGACAGAAGCTACTGG